GTTCATGGGGTCACGAAGAGTCGGACACGACTTAACGACTAAACAACAACAACAATCTCTATTAAGGGATAAGAATATCTATTGGGGTATATTCCTTATGCATGGTGCCCAGAATCTATTTACTTACCATGGATATTTGTAATAAATAGATTTGTAATAGATTTACAATCTACTATTTTTAGATGTGCAGTTAATCTAAATTAAATCAAAGGAAAGTGTTAAGTCCTGCAAATGTATAATTCTGAATGTAAAATTGAATGAATGCAATGAATCAGTTGGGGGGAATGGCATTAAAAGGAGTTAGTTTTGGCCTGAAGCAACCCCAGGGCTAGATGGGATGAAGCTTCCTCTCCCAGGTCAGCCATGTTGAGTAAAGAAACCCAAAAGGATGATGCAGTGGAGGTTGTTTTGACTTCCCAAGTTAGCCAAATCTGGACTTTTCCAGATGCTCATCCATCAAAATGGTAACCGGAGCTGATTCTAGCTGGTGTTCCATCAAATCCTGGCCTTTTTAAATATAGTCCATGCAATTCTTCTATTTTTTTAATAAGCAGATAATTCAGCCCAATAACTGATCAATTGTTTCTTGATTCTTTTTTTTACTTTTTGAAAAATAGGTTATACTTTAAAAGGAGCTTTATTCTTTAAAGAATATTAAATACTTCCATAACACAGCACATCATCTTATTATTGCTCACTGGTATCTTGTGATTGTTTTGAACATGTTTCAGGGCTTTCTTATCACTATCCTTTTGGTTTTGGGTTTTTATGTTTTAATTTGCTGAACCCTGGAGAATTCACATAGATTTCTTCTACGTGCAGTTAAAACTTCTTGCTGCTCTGTGCGAGCTTGATAAAATTAGCATACTCTTCTTCTGCTTTAGCTTCAGCTGCAGCTTTGGCCAGCTGTCTCCTCAGTTTCTCTTTTGCCTTCCTCTGTTGTCTATCAATGCAGAAGATCGTAAACATCTTGAACTCCTTGTAGTTCAATTGCTAATGGAGCAAAACATAATAGTGTTTTAGTGAAATATTGACAGCATGCTTATAAAGTAATCCCCGGAAGGAATTTGGCTTTCACCCTTCAAACCGTAGCCCCCTTCACTCTTCCTTCCTCCTTTCTTAGTACTCTTTAAACTAAATCTCAGAACTCCATAGAACTGCCAAAATATAATTAATGAATACCAACCACCCATCTTTTTACAAAGGAAAATACTCCTGCCCCATCCATCCTATAAACAGAAGTAAAATGGACTGGCAGGTGAATCTTACTTCAATATTCACAATTGTTCTACTGTGCTTTCCATTTGTAGGTGTATTGAAGTAACAGTTGACTGTAGCCCTCCAACCAGCTATTAGAAGCTGCATCACCCACACTCAGTGGGTGGATCTTCTCCAGTGCATTCTGGAGTTGGATTCTGGAAAGCCACAGGGTCATGTTACAAAAAGATGAAACATGGGGTAAGCTAACAAACTTTTTCTAGCTTGAAGTTTCATGTAATCTATTTAACAAAGAGGCAGGTAGAATTTCTTGCAAATTTACAGAATGTGCATGTAAGTAACTGGATCTTAAACAGAAAGCAAAGTTCAGAGCTACCACACTTTAAATGAATGAAGCTTGGTTGTGGTGTGGGGGGGGGTCAGGCAATTTCAATATCATTGGATGCTGCCAAGTTGATAAGAGGGGAGGCCAGGGTTACCAAGATCCTCCATAGCATTCACATGAACTTAAATCATGTTATATATGTCTGACAGGTTAGAAAGGATAGCATGTCCTCTTAAATGACTGAGCCCTCCCACTGCACTACATTTGAACTTAGCATGATGAGCCTTAGCATGATGTACTTATGAATAAACCAAGTGTGGAGCCTATCCACAGAAATGCAAGGCAAAAATAGCAAGGTAGGAGGAACATCAAGCCAAGAAGTATCCAAAAATAAATCACGCGTACTGTGCTGGAATACAAAATTCACTTTGGTTTTTTCAACAAGTCCTGGCTACAACACACCCTGGTTAGAAACAGGAGGACTTAACTTTTTGGTGGGGAGCACAGTTGCAGTATTAGATGAGGTTGCTTGTGACTAATAAAAGATACTAAGTATTATGAAGATGACCCAGTTGGGGAGGAGGAATTTGGGCACCTGTCTCTGTGCTCATCATTTTCTTGATTACCTCATCACCAGAGATGTCAAAGTCTTTGAATATCTGACTCAGCTCAGTCTTCCTAATATTGAAAAGGAAGCGTGTGGCCTGGAACTCTGCTGGAGCAACTGTATGGCCCCCATCCATGTCCAGCAACTCAAAAACAGCATGAGAATGACGATACATGAACTGTTTTTCAAGATGGTTCTGGTCAAAGAAAGAAAGGCAAGAACAGCAATAAGACCTACTTGCTCTAGTCTCGTCAAAGGTTACAACTAAATATTGAAAAGAATATTACTGTGGAGTCCTTGGTGCTCTCTGAGCTTGGTTGTTTGATTGCAGACGTTTCATTATCCAGCTAGCTAACATCAGTGCTAGTGAGTGTGGGGTTTGCTTCCTGTTTATATACAGTAGCTTGCCCTGCCAGTGTTGGCGGGGGTGTGGTTTTTCTACTTGGTAGTTCCTTGATTAAGGTCTTGTTTTCTGTTTGTTTGTCTGTCTGCTCGATTGTTTGTCTCCTAGGTAGTTCCTTGATTATTGTTTTCTGCAGTGTTGGTGGGGGTGTGATTTTCTCCTTGGTAGTTCTTTGATTAAGGTCTTGTTTTCTGCTTGATTGTTTGTCTCCTCTGTAGTTCCTTGATTAGAGTATTGTTTTCTAATCAAGTAACTACCGAAGAGACAAAAATCAAACACACAAACAAGCAGAAAACAATACCTTAATGAAGGAACTACCAAGGAGAAAAACACACTCCCACCAATGCTGGCAGGGCAAGCTACTGTATATAAACAGGGAGCAAACCCCACACCCACAAGCACTGATGATGTTGCTTAGTCGGGTAATGAAATGTCTGCAATCAAACAACCAAACTCAGAGAGCACCAAGGACTCCACAGTTCAACCCTGAGCTACATATATTCTCTTCTGTAAGAATATTACTGATAGATAGCAGGAAAAACAACTTGAAATGCTCCTAAAATTGCAAACCAAATGTATCCAAATGTGAACAAGCGTAAACCTCACAGATGAGAACAGGATATGAAACCCCAGAAACACCAACTCTTCTTCTGTGATGGCTTAGTGATGCTTGGGCTTTCTCTGACAAGATTTAATGAGAGGTGTGATTAGGGATAATTGTACAAGGAGGCCAAATATTGGAGTTGCTAATGTTTTAAGAGTTTAGCCTGCAAAGCATAGGATGTCTTTCAGGCAGGAATGCTCCTCACTACTGTTTCCAGCAGTAAGTTCCCCAACATCCCACAGCCTCTAGATGTGTCCAGGATTTACTTTGGGAAAAATGAGAGTTGATATCCAACACTTCTAGAAGGCATATATTGCAGAACTCTGTAATGTTGGTTTCTGCTCACCCAGCAAAGAGTTGGTATGTCTAAAACAAAACAAAACAAAAAACAAAGCATCCCCTTGTTATGAAAAAAAGTGTCAGGCATTTCTACTTTTCCTGGCATTCTTAAATCTAAACACAGGTAGTCCCTGGGTTAAGAATGCCCGGGTTACAGATGATCCATAGTTAAGAATGGAGCCTACTGTAGCAAAATTCAAGTTAAATGCACAACAATTGGAATTGAAATACACAATGGTTTGAGTACTGTTCCGGGTTACATACAAATTCAATTTAAGGACAGACCTTGGGAACAGAACTTAAACTGGGTACCACCTGTAACACTGTGTACAGGTAGTCCTCATTTACTGACCACTCATTCAGAACTACTTCAGACCACTCAATCAGGCTACTTTTGAACATGGGTTTATTGTTGTTTTAGAAAAGCACTAAACCCCCTGTGGCTGTTACCTTGAGCCATACTATGCAACCCCTCCACGTGCCTGTCATATGATGTACTTGGATTTATGAATAATACATTCTTTTCTGAAGCTAAAGCGTGAGCGGATGCTAGTCACAAGAGAAGAATGTAAGCCTGGCATTTATTTTTAGTCCACAAACCACGATTTGTATAGTTAAGAGCATATCTAAACCAATTATTTACAATTAAATGAGGTTTGTTTCTCAGTGGTAGGTCACCACTGATGGTCTCTTCATCTGAAGCAAAAACGTTTCTTATTCCATTTAGCATTTAAAAATAAATTTGCTACTAATTTAGCTAAATACAATTCAAGCACAGTTCCAATATTGTATAAATTGGAATTTTTGATAATTCTGACTTTGAATGAGATGACATGCTGACACACTAGTCTCAGTTGGCTCTTGCCTTCTGCTAGCAGAAGCCAGATGCCCAAATTGTGAAAGCTCTTGCCATGGTTTGTTCGTACCAGTCCTTGGCATGTCCTGATCTGGCATCCCAAACTAGTCTCTCTTTTAGTAAGCCAGAATTAGAAGATACAGGTTATTCTTGGTTTTTGTTATTGTTATATTGTTGGAGAAAAACCAGCCAAGGATTCAGGCATAAATTATATGAGAAAACAGAAATGGGGCTTCTTTAGTCAATTTATTCTTACAGAAGCAGCAACCAAGGAGGAGCAGCTAAGCACCCTGTACCGACATGTAAACTTTTTCACTAGTAAACTGGAAATGCAACTTGTGAACAGTTGGACTCAGAACTATCCATCCATCTGCAGAATGGAAAACTGGGCAGAATTGATTTTCCTTCACCTGCTCACCACCCCAAATCTTCTCTAGAAATCCTGTTGTATAAGTGAAAATTTAATTATGTGATGATGGATGGAGCTCACTGCAAAATGTATTGTTTCTCCTGTCACCACCAGCAGTTTAGCTAACTTGCCTCGTGTGCCATTATGATGCACACCAACATGTAGAATTCATCAAAGCCGATCTCCCCTTTGCCATCCCAGTCCAGTAAATCAAAGACCAGCATGATCTGAACTGAGGACAGATTAGTCACATAGTGAAGGAAGTGGTAAAACTGCAGATCTGAAAAACAATGTAGTGTTATGCATTATGTGTACAAAAGGTCTAGTTAACAAGACTATTAATAATAGTATACTATGCATTATAAAACCTCCAGATCTGGGCTGCAAAAATCCAGATGGTGTCAACATGATACAGAAAACTCCTACTGCTATCTTACAGTAGTCATCCATATATTTGCAGCCCTGATCTGGTAGCCCTAATATATTCCAACTTGTAGTATGGCAACTAATATTGATTGGATTAATACATAATGACTAAATAAACAACAATAAGGTTCCCACAACAGGCTACGTCAAAACCTAACAAGTCATATTTTGGTTTAGCTAAATGTTTGAACCCAACCATTGATTAACAGCAGACCAAATAATAGTGGACATCAGTACCGCAAAACAATCTCTTTAAGACGTTTTCCACATAGTTGTGAAAATGTTTGTTTAAAATACATTATTAATTTATTTATCATATTTATATAGCCACCCATCTCACACAAGGTGACTCTGGGCAGCGTACAACAATTAAATACATAATTGAATATATGCAGCATTCAAGGGAGTGCTTTGTTCAACGTGACTTTAAGGCAAAGTACCTCTCCAATTCCTCGACAGTCTACTGATTTTACCTCAAAATTTGCCACAATCAGATCAACTTTGAACTCCTAATGCCAGGTAGGGGCTATGTTTGCATGATATACTGAACCTCATCCTACCCAGCTACATTTAGCCTAGTAAGTTGTGCAAATTCAACCTGCATGGTTAGTTTACAGTTTAATCTGTCACTGTAACCCACCCAGATAACTGGGTTGAATAAATCATTGCTCATTTAGCCATGGTTGAGTGTGTCAGGTAAACACAGTTACTGGGACAAATAAGGAAAAGTTACTGTGGGATACTTAAGTAAGATAGCCGTGTAATGCGATCTACTTGGGCTCATGTTTGATAGTTAACCTATGTTAAACTGTTCAACATAGCAGTATCACTGGACTTCAAATCTGAAGATATTCAATGAGATGCATTCCGTTCTTAAAAATATTCAAAAGGAAATAATTCAGTAATGATAATTCCTATATTTCATTTTTATGGGCTTTTCTTTAGCTTCCATATCCCACTTACTATTCAAAGCATTCTTCATATGAACATCAAGTAGATGAAAGTAAGCTGTCAGAGCTCTGGCATTTCTGACAGACAATAAGCAGTATATTTTATCTAAGCACAGAAAATGAAAGAAGCTATTCGGCTTCAGTTTCATCTTGCCATAGAAGAATTATGTTTATATTTGGAACTCTGGAACTGGCCATGGTGATGCCAACACTATAATCCCAGAATTCCACCCTGGAATTAGAACAGCATGATGAAGAGGACCACCTGGACTTACAACAGATGTATACAAATGGTGTGCTGTTCTACAAAATTGGTGTGTGCCCAGTGAAAAAGGATAAGTAAGAAACATTTCTGCCTTGTGTTTAATTATCTATTTGAAGTTATAGTTAGGTTAAGCATCAATCTAAGCCTTTTGGCTCCCCTAGAGGAGCAATAGATTATATAGTGTCTCTCCATAGGCACCAGTGTGCTGGTATCACAGACACTTCATTGTTGCCTGCTATACTCCCTCCTCCATGTAACTTTTAAACAATTGAGAGGGGGGAAGACATCTCCAACGCAAATTGCCAGCCATCTTCCATCATCTTTATATAAACAAATGGCCTCTACGTCCCATTATTATTATGTAGGTCCTGTTGGCTTTCTCAAGACAAAAGCGGTGGGATTTATTTGGAAGTAGGCCTCCTGACCAGAAAAAAAGGCAGCTAAGTTGAGGTCTGAGAGTATGTTGAGGACCTTGAGAGACGAGCAGGGACTCACAAGTTTGCATTCTGGTAAATCGGTGTTTTTCAAACTTGGCAACTTCAAGTTGAATGGACTTTAACTCCCAGAATTTCCCAGCCAGCATGTTCTGGGGAATTCTGGAAGTTGAAATCTACACATCTTAAAGTTTCCAAGTTTGAAAAACACTGATAAATTAATATATTGTTATTGGCCACACTCACTATGGCAGCTATTTGGGGATCCGCCAACATGCTTTCTTGACAGCCAGTTTGAGAATGTCCATATCACGGTATCAAAATTCCAAACATGCTGCTCTCTCTTTGCCTTTCTTTCTCAAACATTCATTCTATGTATATCCAGTCCAGTTTTCAGACTTCATTATTAAAAAATAAGTACATTTGCTTCTGAAATTCTGTTATGAATCTTCTGATTGCAGATGTAATTACTTCTTACATTTTGCTATTTTTCAACTATAAGCATTGTTGTACAATAAGAATGATCATCAGGATGTTACAAGATTGTCATTCTCCTATTTTTCATCTACCATATTTGCTACATAAGTAAACTCTGAAATTCCATATAGTTCCTCTAGATGTCTCTAGTAGATTATATTTATCAACATTTCTTATTTTTAAAAAGTAACAAATATTTCAATGGATAAATCTGAATGCAAGATTAAACATTAAATTAAAAATATTTTTTAAAATAGTGAAAATCTTGTGAGGTTTGCCTTTCTTGTCCAAAATGTTGCAGAATTTCAGGCAGAAAGACAAAAAACAGAGAATTGCAGGGAGGGGTTCACAAGACAGACATAAGATTTCAAGAAAGAATGCTAACATCTTGTGAGCTTTGGCACTCTGATGACATATTGAAGATTTTGTCTGCTCCAAATATCAGGACCCTCACAGATCATATATTGAGAATTACTGGGTAGACAACCTTGTTGACTTCTGAATGTCCTCCCTTATTAGGTGACCATTACCTGTGCTGGGTGGGTCTATAAGAATTGTGGCCCAAACACAAGGACATAACTTTGCTCACTTATAAAAGGAATATAAAACTTCAGTTAACTCAAGGGCTTGGCTTTCTGCAGCATGCCAGGCTCTATATTGCAAAACTGGGTGGGGACAGTCCATTTTGTGGGGAAATTGGGGCATTTTTAAGGGATGAAATAAGTGCCTGAAACCTTTCAAGGGCCTCCTTCATAAATTTTAAAAAATGTAAAATAAAGGGCTAACATTTGCCCTCATCATTACAAAAAGGATACTGGTTGACTACATGCAGCTCCCCAGTCACACTCTCTGTCCTATAGTATAAATGCAATATTGTCTGTTCCATGATCTGCAAGTAAGTTTATAAGTCTTATTCTCAAACCTGCTAAATCAATGGAAAAATACCACAAGCGTGTATTAGTTCCTGATGTCATAATGAGGATAGTAAACTGACATTCTGGAGTAACAAAGGCTTAGACTATGTTCTCACAACGCATACTATACCATAATTGTAACATGATTCACTGAATTAACACAGTAATCCTAGATTCACACAGTAGCTAAACCACTCTGGCTGAGCTTGCCCAACTGAGTCAGCCTAGTCTTACTGTGACCATAAACTGGGTATCAAAAGTAGCAGAAGATGTGACAATAGTAGGGTCAAAGAAAGGTGTGAATACAAGGATGGAAGAGGGGCTCAGCAGCAACCAATGTTGGCTACACAGAACCCTTGAGTATATAACCCTTCTGTGGTCCTGGGATTGTGTGGGTTTAGACGACACTGGCCTTCTCTTCTCTAGTGGCCCCACTTATATTTCCCTACCAGCAATTTATAGTAAATTCCAGTGTCATCCAACCTTCATTGTACCAAACTAACAAGTGCCTTCTTACACTTCAACAATTGGCTAGATGATGCTTTCAAGATGCTTCTGACAACATCTGATTGGGAGCTTAAAACTTGGAGAATATGCAGCAATGGCAAAACTAACAGTATACATACACAATAGAAGTTTAACCAAATTTAAGCAGGAATGGTTCCCATACTGTACATACAATACATCATATGGCAGGGCAAATACAATCACTTCACTTACAGATAGGCTTCTAAGGGGACATAAATGCCTACAATACTGCAAATCAGCAGATGAACAAAAAGGGGAAAGTTAGAAACTCAATTGTTCTTTTCCTTTTCCTTTCTTTTTCCTTTTTGGTATTTAATTCTTGCTAAATCTGTATTATGTATTTTCCCTTTAGTTAACTATATATTTTATTACCTACACACACACACAAATATATTAAGTAATTACATAATGGAGTATTTAACACTAAGTAATCAGCTCAAGACCAAAACCTTTATTGTAGAATAATTACTTTGATGCCATCTGCAGCAGTCTCTTTTTTAAAATGTCATATACAACTCTGGGTGAAAAAAATCAAATAATTTTATGCTTGCAATGTCGACATCCTAAATTGTAGTTAATATTGATAGCATAATGGAAATAAAAAGAGAAACACTCTTAAGTTATGTAAACAATAAAATGTCAATAGCTTTTAATTTTGTATTGAAACAATATAATGCACCAAGACTTACAACAATATACTGTAATAAAAAGGGGGGGTACTGTAAATTCTAGAGTCAGCCAACTATTATTAAGGTGACATAAAATCCATCCTCATTACAGTTTTATCAGCACAACAGTGTGATTACTATTTTTTGTCATATTTTAATGAATTTTTATCTTGTTATAAACTGCCCAGAGTCATTTCACAAGACGGGAGGTGACAAATTTGATGAATAAATAAATAAAATAAATTACTAGCCAATTAACAGAAGAGACTCCACCTCTTGTTACATTTCTAATGCAAGTATGAAAGGCTTAAAATGGAGTGCACTTCCAATAAAATAGCTATGTATTGCATTAATGCAAAAGGCAGCAAACTACATTATGACTTTATGGATGAACCATGCCTGCTTAAACAATTCTGAACTAGCAGTGTGTAACCTGCTACTTGTCAATACCATACACTACTCATGCTCAAGTTAATTCTGGTTTACTTGATCCAATTTTCTGCACTGGCAACACAAACCGGACCACAGGCTGGGTTTGCATAACTTGCTAGCCCAGTTTATAAGTCACGGAGAGCGCCTACTTCGTTTTTGCAAATGCATAGCCTATATTCTTGCTGACAGGCAGTTAAAATGTACTGTTATTTAAAGCACTTGGGCTGTCCTAGAGAACCATTATTTTCTCTGAGCAATTCAGGAAATCGTGTCTTACTCACTCATCTCTCTATCCCAGCTTACCCTGACAATTTTCAGAAAGTCACATTCAAAGGCACGATTAATTTCTCCTCCGCCCCCCCCCCCCCCCCCCCCCCCCCGCGCG